AGAGTGAACAACACCAAGCATAGTGAAAACCTTTCAACGAGTCGTGGGCGGCAACTGGATTTAAACACACAAAATTAAAGTCTTTTCACATCATACGCTGATTTTATTTGCAGACTGTCAACACGGTGCGATCAGTTAGTCACGCCCAAAGCATATTCTTAATGGGTCATTTAGCTAAAGAGAGCTGCAGAGGCGGGTGGTAATTTTTTCCCTGATTGGTTCATGATTACAAGCAAAGCCAGCTAACAGTATACATCATCGCCTGATCACCTGATAATCAGTGTCAGCATAAAGCATTGATTATACCGATTTTGGTGCACACCTGTAATCTACCAAAAAAAAGGCCTCTCATATCAGAAACCTTAGTATCGCCTTGTCATTTTGGGCCCAGCTGCATGTTCCCATACACTGTTTAGAGTTACAGAAGAGGAGGATTGAGGGAGCATTAGCTCTTTGTGTACTGTTGCTTAATCCTATAAAATATGATGTCATCTGTTGGGCCTCTGTTGTTCTCAGATTGGCTCAACGGTGCAGAACAAATGATGCCCTTAACTTTGAACATATGTTGTGCAGTTTGCATGCAGGCTGGACGCGCAGGCATGGGAACACGGTCCCCATAATGTGCACATATGTTAGAATGCAAGATAAGAGAGCTACAAAGCACAGTTTGCAACAAGGCAGATCATAATGCATTGAGCTAAAGGTCTGCAAAATCACCACGGCACTGACATCACAAGGTTTTTTCAGTGATCTGACATAAAAATGTAGCAGAACACACCTCTGAGTCTTTGACATTACTGACTTTGTGCAGCTGCCCGTTAAGTGACTGGCAGACAGATTCAGGCGCCAAATGCCTTTCGCTTAGCATCAGCGTATCAAGGTGCGCATGTGAACAATTTTAAGTGATGGGAGGCAGCGAGAGTGTGAGTAAGTGCTCCAGAGCTCTCAATTAGTTTAACATGTATGGAAAGTTATTTGAAAAATCCGCTACGCACACTGCTGCATGTAATCTCAACAAGCTCGTGTCCTATATTTCAGATTTAATCACACACGGCGTGCCTCTGTGCTCTTGAGCTCTCTCTTCTTGTCACATGATTTTTTTTTTGGGGGGGGGGGATCGGTATCGCTATGATTGACCTCATATGAGGAGCTGGCTTGTAGTGCGCATGATTTTAAGGGAAAATGGAACAACCACACTAACTCCTCATGGGTTAGAGTCCAAATAGAATGACTGTAAAATAATATTCATGTCTGCAAGCCTCTGAAATAACACATTTATAACTCTTCTCCTAAAACACACGTGAAAAGAGAGATCTTTGTTCACAGCTGGCTGTTTTTCCCCTCTGGTAAAGCTAAAATATGAATATTTCTTGCCCTTTGGATCATGAATCAGCACAGTTACCTTTGTGGCACATTAGATCTTCGTATTTCTTGTTGATAACTAGAAATCAATACGCCTGATTTTGGCAGCAAATATACAAACATTAATATTCACACAAATCCTCCAAAATATAGTCCCTTATTTGTCTATTATATAAATATTCCTACACTGATGGATGCTCATATTAAACAGTTTCAAATAATGGAGTCACAGTATGTATAAGTAGTCCTTGTAAAGCAAGAGCTCAGCTTTCAGACTGCTGTAAATGTTCAGTTCATGTGTTTCTTTTCAACTCTTAACACGTTGATCTCAGGCAAACAGCTCTGATTGTTTGAGAGGGGCAGCCAATAAGAAGGAAGCTAGCCTAAATGGAGATGCGCTAAAGAATGCCTGTTTCAGACAGAGAATGGAGATGATTTTTAAGCGTGAATCATGCAAAGCTACCCGAGTGGAATTCAAATAAAATTGAACAGGGACATCAGCTAAAGGGCATACTGACTGGAACATTTGGAAATATCTGTGTCATCTATATCACTTTCATTCAAATTCAGGGCAGAGCATGAAGCTTTCCTCATATTCAGGTAATTCAAGCATGACACCGATGAGGGTAAAAAAGAAAAAGTGGAAGTTCAGAGGAACTCTCCTGCCTCTACTGATCTCACAGTTTAACCGCCAAACTGTTATCAGACTATATCCATTTGTTTACACTACATTGTGTTCAAGGACTTCAGGCCAGAAGACGGTTAGGATTATCTGCTCGGAAGCATCCCGTATGTGTGTCGCTCGCCACCATCATTTAATAACCAACTCAGAGCTGCAGCCACCATGTGTGGTAATCTTCATTCAGCTTTAAAACCAAAACCCACCATCAGGACTGCATTATACTAGCTTTAATACCCAAGTCAGGACAGTCTCTGGACAGTCAGCACACACTGGACATCACTAGTGAGCTCCTCATGCTTAATTTCCACCTACATCAAGATCAAAAATGTAAATCTTGCATCTAATTCAATAAAGAGTATTACAGTATTTCATTTTACTACAAGATCTAGCAGTACAACTTCAGACAGACTTTAATCAAATGTGCAATGGATGTCACTATCCTAAAAACAACCCCTAATTTTTAAACACAGAACTGCTCATGAAAGAAGAACATTTAACAAGAAAATGCACTATCCTCCATATGGAAGGGTGCCTGTCAGATATCTTATCAATTTCCACCAGTTTACAGGCTTCACATGGCGCCAAGAGATAGTGAGAGATACTTCAAAGCAAAGCAGAGAGACATCAAACAGATGGAAAAGGAGCATGCAGGGAAAATTTTGCTTTGTTTAGCTTTTTTCCACCCTTCTTTCCTGATTTCTGCCAAGATCGGGATCTCACCTGCGATGAATGAGGGCATGCAAATCATTACAGGGCTGCCCTATATCTGAAAAACGCTCTTTTATCAGCAGGTATGTATTATCAGGGTACACGGCGGCCGACCGTGGAAGACTGGGAATGTCTAAACAAGACAACCTCATGTCTTCGCGCATCCTTGCGTCCTCGCACACATCCATCCATACCGTCCTCTCCGTGTCCCCCTCCCCTGCGCGCAGACTGAGAGGGAGAGAAAACCAGTGTGGGAGAAAGGAAAACAGCCTCACCGTGATTGTCTTCGTCCATACCAGCGACCTGGCACTTCCAGCAGAAGGTGTGAAACCTCGCGGGAAATTCTGTTTATCTGTCTTTACCGGGATTTTCTTTCCGTCCACTGACACATAGGCGACGCCGGCGGTGTGTTGACAGATGGAGGAGTGGACCGGTGAGCAGATGTCAGCGGCGAAATTAACAGAAAACAAAAAAGAAAAAAAGGGAGAAGAAGGGAGGGAGGTGAGGAAGAAGCCTCGGTGTATATTAAAAGAAGCTCCTTAATTGCACGAGCGAGGTGAGACGATGAGATGTGAGGCAGCCGCTTTCTTGTCCCTCTGCTCCATCCTCAGCTGCTCCGTCTGCGTTCACACCAGCGACACTGCAAGAGCGACGTCATCAAGGCCCGCCCCCCAAAAATAACACCCCCCACACCAACGATACACTAGACTACACACACAATGTAACCGGCGCTTACTGATTAACCAAACAAAGTAAAATGAGTGATGTGGGGTATTTAAATCAAGCAAAAATAATTGCTTGATTGTGATATTTGTGATATTTAAAGTGAAATTACTCACTCACTCACTCACTCAAATAAGAAAGAAAAAACAAAATCCCTGCACATTTTGTAGGCTAATCTACACAAAATGTAGATTAGCCTACTATTATTCTTGCAATTTCTTTCAAGGTTTTTTCTAAATAAAAACCACGCCAAATCACAACAACAGCTGCCTCAAGGTGCTTTACATTTTAAGGTAAAGATCCTACAATAATGCAAAGAAAACAAAGAACCCATAATCATATGACCCCTTATGAACAAGCCCTTTGGCGACAGTGGGAAGGAAAAACTTCCTTTGCAGAGACCTGTTAAAGTAAAGCCTTGACAAATTTACACTGCAAATCTCACACTCACTAAAGCAAATGAAAAAAATATTTGAAGATGAAACAGGAAATCTTGACATTTCAGATGCTGAAACCACTAATATATATATATATATATATATA